TCGTGTGTGAAAGACTCTGAATCCCATCAGTACAGTATCTTACCATATGTTTTAATCTTTCTTTCCCCAGAGTCCCATGAGAGCATGGAATCCCATGAGTATCTCAGTAAGAGATTGCTTTACTATTTTCTTAAATTTGAAATGGGCTACAGACATCTTCAAGATCATTTCCTCGTATTTTACTGTAGGGATTAAATATGTGAAACCACTGAGGCCAGGGAAATAGAATTTAGTGGGTGATGGAGTTTCAAGATGAAAAGAGAAAGGATTAAAAAAGACTTCACATGTTTGGACACAAATGCATTTCATTGTTTTGCAAGAATATGAGAACTGGAAAATGAAGAGTCGTGAGCTTAAACCCCTGCTGCATGCATGTAAAATAGGTTAAGTCACACTAGAAAAGGACATTGCTCAAAAAATGCTAGGATGAGCATGGGAAGCAGTATTGCAGAAGCCAGTGACATGACTTGTTTTCCTCCAAGGACAGGGAGAGACTTACTTGCAGCACCTTGGAAGAAACAGGTGGGATGTGTGAGCAGGAGAGATCCTTCAGCTGAAAGAGAGGGTTTGAGTCACAGGAAAAGCATGAAAGGGTGGAGAGCCTCAGTCTGGAACAAGCAATATCCTGGAGAGGTTAGAAAACAGATGGATTGAAACTAAAATGAAATTAAACCATCTGGAAGAAGGACTTCACAAAGCAGCTAGTCAGAAGCACAAAGGCACATGTGGGAGAAAATACCAAAGACATCCACAGGCTCCTGAACTCTGCAATAGGGCTGTGGTGTTTCCCAAAAACGACAGAAGGGACCTTCAGACACCTCAGTCTAAAACTGCCACACAGACTGCTCTGTGACTACCAAACCTCAGAAGCAGATGAACTTACCCGGGATCTTCTTTCCTGATGCTGAGTGTGCCCAGACCTCCCATATTCTGTGCAGCTTGGCACCTATCTTCTGTCCAAGCTCTGCTCACTCAGGGGGGCTGTGGCAGCAAAATCACAGTAGCTTTCCCTTGGGTGGCTTGATTAACAGCAGAGCAAGAGAAGCTTGTGCACTTTCACAGAGGCTGCAAAAGCCAGAGGGAGAGCCTGTGCGCAAAGCAGTGGGGTAGGCAACAGGGACTATTAAAAGGTTCTGGGTTTCATTGTGCATGGGAGAGCTGACAGAAAGCCTATTATAGATGTGGAAGTTAGCTTTTGCTGAAGTACAGCCTTGAAAAAGTGTCAATCTACTCTAAATAACCCCTTCCCTTCTCAGATCCCTTCATCAACAGGCGAAGGGCCAATGACTTCATACAAGCTGACTCAAGACTAGAAGCCATCACTCAGGAGAGGTATGTTATAGCCTCAGGATGCTAAGGATGAGAGCGGGAAGAGGTGTCTCCTTGCCAAGCACAGACTGGTACCAGGGGTGGCAGCCATGATGATTCTGAGAAGCCTCAGTTCCTTTCTTCAATGTGAGGTGCCTGTGAAGTCCCTCATCCCTTGGAGAAGCTGGAACTAGAAATCGTAGAGAGCAAGTCCTTACATTTGAAATCATGTCATATGCTGGAGGGGCTCTGTTTAATTTGTTCAAAGGAAACACCAACAGAAGGAGAGGAAATCAGTGTTGGATGGCCAGAAAGACAGCTCAGTTTGAGATCTTGTTCTAGTCCTCAAATCTCAAGCAGAATTAACACAGCTTTTTCTAAATCACAGGGCCATCTGGGGGCCTCCTTGCCTCATCTATGAAATGTAAATATAGGCAGTTTCATGCCTTATTCAGGGCTTTTGAAAGTAAAGGCTGAAGCACAGAAATAATCTCTTAATGAGGCATCAAGGCAAACTTTCTCCACAGTACCTGGTGGCCCCTTTGCAGGATGTTCCAGGGCTTTTTGTTCCATGCATGGCTTTGGGGAACAGCAGAAGAGCTGAAGGCAGCAAGATGGGGGTACTGCCGAGGAAGGACTCTTCTCCAAGTTGAGGCAGGAGCCACCTCCCTCTCCCCACCAGCCCATTTAGCCCTGAAATGAAAGGTTGCCTGCAGAGGCAAAATGTTCCTGCTGTAGTCGCGTTGCTCCCCTGTAAGTGGTGAAAACAGAATATGGTATGAGGAGCTTTTTGCAGGTGGATGATGGAATCTCATTATGGACCCTTATAGGGGGTTGTGGGCCAGAAAAGGGCTGTAGACGGATATTTAAGAGGACAGCATTTACCCTTCATCTCTCCTACTTTTGCAGGATCAGGGAACGTAGTAAAGCACCCTATGAACGTCAGAGGGAGGCCTGCGAGGACTACTACCCATGTGAACTGTATGCTTTTCGCCATGGCTATGCTGCTGCTTACAGGCACTATTTTGGGAGGAGGAGAACCAAGTAAACGATGACCTAAACCCACCCTGGGGCCTGGAGCCCGGGGTATCTTCCCAGAAAATGCAGTGGCTCTGAAACATACTCAGTTGCTTATGTCCCTGTATGTTATCCTGCCTGCTGCTTCTCTCCCTTGTAGCCATGGATTCCTACATCGTGTTAATTAGCCCTGAGCTGATGTAACAGAGATCAGAGAGAGTTCAAGATGTGGGTGTTTACTACACAATAAATTGCTAGTTTGATACTATCTTCTTGTGAGTCACAGTATTTTGGGATGGAGGTGTGCAATTTTCCATGAAGAAGCTGAGTCTGTTTATTATAGAATCTGGTGTAGATTATGGAAAATAAAAGTCATTACCTTGCAGTCCCATGAATTTGAAATTATCTACAAAGCTTTTGTTCCAGGATCTACAAGTAGCTTCTTTTAGAAGTCACTGGCAAATTTCAGCTCTCACTCTTGAGAGACCCTGAAATGGCATGGTGTTCAGAAGGCAGGGTGAGATGCACTTTTTGAAAATGAAATCTAAAATATCCTTCCTTAATTGGGGAAACAAAATTCAGAAGGCATCTATATAATCTTGAAAGTTGGGGAGAGAGTAAGTGACAGGAAAAGCATGTAAACTGCAACTTGTTTATCCAGCTAACCTTGAGTCTTGAGGTAGAATACTCCTGTAGAAAGAAGTACATGGTTCAGGCTTTACTCATATTTCCTTTTGCAATCTTCTTTCATGCCTGTACTTCCACTTGGAATGATTGTGGTAGCACTAGAAAGCTGCAGAAACCAAAGGTGAAGAGGGGCTCTGGGTTCTGAATGCTCCATCTCTGGCAGTGGTCAAGGCCAGATTGTACAGAGTCTTGGGTGACATGGTTTTGTGTGTGGTGTCCCTGCCCATGGTAGGAGGGGTGGAACTAGATGACCCTAAGGTTCTTTCCAACCCAAACCATTCTATGATTCTATGGTAAATTAACAAATAAACTCAATGTTTAGGGTCAAACCCAACCTTGTTTACCTAGAACAATTCCATTTTATTGTTCATAATCCCTTGGAAACGGAGATGTGTCCTGGCCTGTGCACAGGTTGTTGTTCACCTCTCGGCCCATTGAGGAGTGAGTGTGACTGCTGTCAGGTTATCACCACCAACAGCACCAGGGGAACTTGCAGCAGCCTGTCCCCAGGCCAAGAGGCACCAGTGTTGACATGCCCAAGAATTCAGTGCTGCTCTGGGCTGGGCAGCAGTTACAGCAGCTTGGATGCTACCTGTTGTGGCATATGTACAAGACATAACATTTATCACAGCGCAGCTGGTTTCAATAATTGCATCTCCAGACTTCCATAAGCATCTGCAAATTATAAAAGTGGCATACTCTCAAAGTCTATGAGGAATAAAGTATCAAAATGTTGACTAATTTGTGGAATTAAGTTTAGAGCCAAGTCTACCTACCACATTAGAAACACAGATCTCCTTCCAAAATATGCTTCAAGGCTTTGCCAGCTTTGAAAATGAACTTCCGGAAAACAATGTGATTTATTTATTGAAAACACTTCTGAAACTCCACCCTGACAGCTGCTAAAGTTTTGTCCAAAGGAAAAAGTGAGAGAGAAGTTAGTTTAAGGAAAAAAAGCCATACGGATTAGGTATATTTGTACCCACACTTGTTCTGCATGTTCCCAAGTAAGTGAATCTTACAATCAACAACTAGAGCAAAACTTTCATACCCAAAAGTCAACAAGTTCATAATGTCTGGGTTTGCCTTGACACTCTGACACTACCAAAACAGAAGTCACAGGGCTAGTGCTGTCTGGGTGTGTGTCCAGAAATATCTTGTGATTCCAACTTCAGGTTTACCAGTACGAATAATGAATAGTACTGGAGATTTCTGTGGGATTTTGGTAGTGTGAGCAACAACCAAACACGTTTAAGAGACTACATGCTGGTTAGAAAGCTTGGGAAAAGTTGGAAAGGCAAGTAAAGATGTTTGGATTACATGGAATGTATATTTATATTATGTCAAATATTCTTTCAGAAGCATAACTTTCCTAGAATGCCTATTATTTATAGATACTTATTTATTTTTAAACTGTTGGTCTTCAAGATACTTTTGCTGGAAATTGTTATACTGGACTGTATATAAAGTTCAACTTTTTTCCTCGTCCAAATTCTGAAATCTCTGTAAACTAAAAGACAGCATTTCTCAGGATTGGCAAAATCCCTAATGGCTCTGACTGCCCCAGGGAGCTTTTTATCTGTTAATTTTGTAATCCTTGGACATGTTCCCTGCATGTGGGTCTAAGGAAGACTGGATTTGAGGTGGAGGAAGACGTGATCCATATGTTGTTTGTGAGACACCGTTTTGGGAACTTAGATGGTGGGTTTAGGGAGTATGAGGCTATTGGTAGATGAGATGTAGAAGAGCCCATGCGAGGCTCCTGACATACTGAATAACCACAATCACCCAACTCCTGAATAATAAATCACTTTGGAGTCTAAAGGTTTATTTGATTTTTAGATAAGAGAAGCCAAACTGAAACCTCCAAACTAAGGAGATTTCCAGGAAGGAAAAAGAAAGGTCCTCCCTCAAACTAACTACCCAACATTCCCAACAGTGTAAAAATCTCAGCTCTCCAAAGTGATTTGGTGAAACTCTCTGAAGCAAAAATCTACTCTGTGTTTGCCCTATGCAAACTATTTCATGGGTTTCTTTACCTTCACGGGAATGGGTCAGGGTGAGGTATGGGAAAAGGGTCGCCATTGGGTTCAGTATCATTTGATTTTCTACATGAGAGAGCCCCATCACACGGAAAGGTTGCTCTGCTTCAGGGCGTACTAGTTTTTCCCCTGGCTTTCAAAGCAAGAAGCTAGTATTACTTACAAACATTAATGAGTTTCATGTTTATAATAAAACTGTTTTTTTCTTTATCCAGTTGTTTTTCTTCAACTGCCTCATTCAAAACCTCAGATAAAATCTTCTGGAAATGCCACAGGTTCTGAGATGGATGTCAAAATGGCTGCCAGGACTAAATATCTCCTGGCTAGAAGGACATGCTTTGTTTTGGAGCTCAGACAAAGGAACACAAGCCAGAGCCCTGATATCTCCAGCAGATCACATGATATAAATTGCTGTCCAAAAGGAGGCTCTGGAGAACCTCAGTAACCTCCAGGAAAGCTCTGAGGTTAGAGAGACGAGCACAGCCAAGGAAGACATGAGGAGTCTGGTGGCATCACTGATCGTGATTCTGGCCCTGGCAGCTCTCTGCTGTGGTGAGAAAGGTAAGGGGAGGTCTTTCTGGGAAGGCTCTTGGAAGTGCTGCTCATCCCTGTAGCTTGCCGCCAGCCTCCCTTTGGTCTGTGAGAGACACAGAGCTTTGCAGGGACAAGGTGCACCACTGACCATCACACATCTCTGTCCCAGAGACAGAACCATGGCTGAGAGGGTCTGGGGACAGAAAGCCTTGTCTCTTGCAGGGCACTTCCTTCCACTGATCAAACCCTACCCCCTAATTGCACCACTGAACTGCAGCAGAGAAATTGAACAATTGAATATGTTTAAGTATTAAACCAGTTTAGCATTTAGGTGAATTGGCAAAGGTGTGCTGGATGCTTGCTTTTGAGTAAGAGGGCTGAACTGCAGGCAGATCTGTGTCGACCACGGTAGGGGGGAGGATTTTGTACCTGCCAGTCCTGAAATGCTGTAGGAACACAGAGATAAGCACAAAGTGAAGCCTTCAGTTGCAGGGAAATGTGGAATTTGGGGAAAAAGCCTCCTATTAGTGGTTACAAAGAAATTAGCTGTCCGATTGAAATATGAACACATCACATTTGAAAGCTATCTAGCGATGGTGACTTCATGATGAAAAGATAGTAACATAGTGGCAGCTCTATAGTTGAAGAGAGAGGGAGGGGGTAAAGATCATAAAAACAAGTGTTTTCACTTTATGGCAAGAAGATTGAAGCTGAGCAGGAGGAGAGAGCTCAGTCTTTTCTTCTTAACTCATTCAGAGTTAAATTTTATTCAGTCATGATTCAATACTGGCAAATATATATATATTTAATTAGTGTTTTCCTTCTGTCAGTCTCTTTCTCACTTTCTCAGTCTGGCATATATATCTGCTTTTTTTTTAGTCATTATTGTGTTCCAGAATGCTTATCTGCATTGGAGTAACTTCTCATTCTATAATTTCAATATTTTTTTTTTTTAATCCAAGGAATGTATATATTGCTTAAAACCAGAGCTACACACAACCCTTTTCATGTAACATTTTTGTTTAAACACAGTTGTTATTTTTTTGCTCTCTAGAGCCCTCTTTCTGCCCCTAAATACACTTACGCCAAATACCTGGTGACTTGGGTGGAACCGACACTTGAAAAAAGGTATGGGGAAACAGTGGAAGAAAAAATTTGTGAAATAGGGAAGTGTAGGAGACCCAATATTAGGAGACCTTCTATTCTCTTAGAGGATGCTTTCGTTGGGTGTTTCCAGGGAGCATTAGGGATTAAGATTAGGACTGAACACAGAAATACAGTGTGTAAATTCTTGCAAGGGCTGGGGATCCAGGTACCTCAGCCTGAGACAGAAAGCTGTAAGGACAGAACTTTTCCTAAATTTTGGCCCTATTTCTATTCCTTATCAATGACTTGTGATTTCTCCCCAGAGGTAAGGAAACCTCTCTTTCCAAAAATAGGTGAGATATTCAGCTCCCTTGGGGTTCTGTCCAAACTGAGGTTTCATTCAAATGGTCCTGTAGCTCTAGCTGTCCCTGCTCTTATCAAGGGCAAGGAGGTTGATGAAGGTCTTCCTCCAGCTTCCATGGTAGTTATATGTTTATTGTGTCATTTAATCTGGATCAGGGGAAGTTGAAATTAAATAAACCCAGGCATAACGAGGGAAATCTGCTGTGGTAGAAGTGTCTGTCTCTAAATGGTGGGTGTTACAAAATCTTTTTTGGAAGGAACAGACCTTCTGGAAAACTGGGGGAAGCTGGACCCAGGCAATAGACAGAGGGGTTTCATTACAGAACAAAGCAGAGGAGAAGGACTCACAAGCAAACTCCTTTGTGTCTGTCTTCCAGGTCCCAGCACTGACAGTGAGTGACTATCATTGTGACTGATGCTCAGCCCCATTCTTCTGCATCTGCCTCCTTTTCCCCTTTGATAGGTTCAAGGGGTGAACAAGAACCATGCTGAGCCCTTCCAGTTGCTCCTTTTTAGTTCCTGCAGCGCTGCAGTCCCTGAGGTGCAGGAACACCTGCAATGAGCAGAGGCACTGCCTTTCACAGCCCTGGTGGCAGTGGACACAAGGGAGGTCAGCCTCCCATGCAGGCACCCTAGCATCACTCCATGTGTGCTAGTGATGCAACCTGCATTACCACAACTGTCGAGTAGCCCCCAAGGCAAGACGTGAGTCCTGAAGGTTGTTAGCAGCTGGATGCATCTGCTCTGTGTGAAACAGTGTGAGCAACAAGGCCAGTCTCCCTGTTTCTCTGGTCTGGCATTAGAGACTTACCCAAAGTGACTGTTGCATCCCCAGACTGCTAAGGGAGCAGAATCTGCTCCAGGGCCTCCAAGCTCTGTTCTTCTGGATCTTCTAAACAGTCAGTCTGTTGTGCAGGATCACAAAACAGAAAGGTTTAGTGCCACATAGCAACAGGTTGTGACATCCCTGCCAGATCCCTCAACCTGGAGAGCCTGAAAGCAAGCACCTTCTATGGCTGCTCCAGGCTGCCTCCTGAAGTCCCTTCTGTTAGGTTGCCTGGGACATGTGAATTGCACACCTTGGGTTGTCCACAGATTTTGCAGCAAGCCGATCCTGCCAGAAAGCTTTATGGAAAACCCCTTTTATTCCTTCCTGTCTCTCTGTTCTCACACCTTAAAGGATAACATTGCTGCTGAGGAGCATGAAAGCTGGTATTTCTCCAGTGAGCCAATACAAATACAGATTGGGAAATAAAAAAAGATCTGAAAAGAGTGTTCAGGGAAAGGTGGTGATTTCTGACAGCTTATTAGCTGTCAGTTTCTGTGTAGTCAGTATTTTGATCCATGCTTAACCCCAGCTTGTTAGAGAGGGGGCACCTCTCGTTTGCCAAACGAAAACACAGTCAAATGCCTCACGATGATGAGGGAAGGGCACAAACCCCACCGTCACCCCCCAGGTAGAGTCCTCAGGAACTTGCTTCTAGAAACTTAGAAACTTGGCAGTTTGCCAGTTGCCCTGCTGACACATGTATTGATGCACAGCTGCCTGTGTTGCTGGTGTGTCAGCATTTGTGCACACCTCTGTTGTTGTGCATCCATACTGCAGAGCAAGACTGCGCTGTGCTGAGCCCTGTGGAGGTGAGGAGCAAAGTGGCTTTACCTGCTCTTCGTCAGGTGCTCCACTCCACAGCACCCTGGTGTTTGTAAACCACAAATTCAGGGGAACAAACAAGCCATCGTGCTGACAACATGTTAGTGGAGACCAGGTGCCAATGCCGTCATGGCAGAAAGACCTCTCATATTCTCCAAGTCCTAAACAACAGGATCTTTTCACCTCCTGTGTGTATTTCTCCTTTGGTGATGTTTGCTGACACTCTTTTATATCCTTCATTTTTCATGGCATTATGTACATGTGAGTATTGGTATATTTATGCACTGACTGTTGCTTATGGCTCACTGGAGGCATTTTAAGGCCTGGTGGCTGGTATCCCACATCACTCTCAGTCTGAGTCAAAATACAGAAAGGAAGCCAAGACTTTGAAGTTAACCAGGCCAGGGAGAGAGAGTGCCATTCCTTGAATTTTCTCCTTATTCATATTTTATGCTGTCATGACTTTGCCATCAGCACATTTGCTGTGGTATCAGATGTCCCTGTGTGATAAGAGAATGGAGTTTATGACAGAAAAGGCCCTTACTCCATGGAGTTGTGCAGGTTGGAGTGAGGAGGGAGCCCATCTGTTGGGCTTTGAGTGAAGAGTGTGTTGGTGAAGATGATGATTAGGATGATTTGTATCAGTCACCTGCTTGTGAGTAGACTGTCCGGTTCCAGAGGTTAGGCTGGTCTCTATTTCTCATAGATCATGGGCCTGCATCTCTAACCTGCTGTGTTCTTTCTTCATAGGCATCAAGATTAAAAAAGAAGTTGCCAATACCTTTGTGAAGAGGCAGAAGAGATCCAGCCTGTATGAATGGTAACAACTCAGGAGTCAGGCTGAGAACTAGACTCTGGACCTGTTATGAAGAGGGGATGGGAAGGCAATAAGACATGACAAAGCATTGATTTGTTGTACATCTATGTGTTGTAGCAAAAACAGGCTATAGGATACATTTATAGATAATTTTTTTTCATAAATATCCTTTTGAAAACTCAAAGGAATATCAGCTGGACTCTGATATTCTTCCCTGGGAGGAAGATAGTACTAGCTGTCTTGGCTAGCCATGTGGAGAGCAGGATACAAGTTAGAAGCTTCTCTGGACACAGGGTCATCAGAACAAATCTCCAGGATAATGAGTATCACAGAACCTTGGTCAATGCCTCTGGCTCCCTACAAAAGAAGCACAGCTCTGTTACAGGGATGTGGCTAGATCAGATTGGCTGTTATTTCTGAAGCTCTAGATCCTGCATATATTTGTACTGAAATCCTAGACACAAAGATTTGGAGAAATCTTAACTCTGAACAGTTGGATAAATTTGAAGTAATCCAGGAATGTTCTTCACATATTTCCTGGAAAAGGTTGTTAAGCCACTCTTGTGTAGGTCTGTGCAAAAAGATTTTTATTCAATCTGTCTTTGGACTGTTGGGTTTAGACTATAGAAGACTGGGAGACCCCATCATTAAAGGAAAGGATCAGAGTACTGTAGCAGAGAAACTTACTGATATTGAAAACTGCAGTGCTTAAAACCAAGATGAAATTCAGTAGCAGCAACTGTATTGTCTGTATTGACTACCCCCTATAGGTGAGGGATCATAAAAGCAGCTTCTGTTATAAGCATTAAGCAGGAAGGATTGAGGTAGACAGACATTGCGGCATATTATTTGATCATGATGTAAGGTTAGTTTGGTAATATGGATGCAACAAATGTAATTCAGGGGTGCTGCAGGGTATTTTCAATACAGAAATAAAGTAAAAAGTCATGAGATACTGGTGGGACTCTTGTAGCAGTATGTACAGTCTTTGGGAAAGATTAACCAAACCTAGAAGAAGAATTAAGAAGGGCATCCAGAGTGTATAGCTGAGACTAAAAGATTTGGATTTGCTTAGCCTGGAAAAACACAAGCTGAACAGGGATAGTGTTGCTATCTACAGCAGAAGAGAGGATAATAACAGAAAACTGCTTAAGCTAAAGAACGATAGTGGCTAGTAGGAAAGGAAGCAGAAACTGGGTGCAAATAAAGGTAAACAGGAAATAACTAAATAAATTTGCAATCAAAATATTAATAATAGAACTAAAACCAGCAACAGTAACAACAAAAATAACAATAACAATAATTAATAAAGATTCCTGAGTAGTTGAGGAATGAAATTGGGAACAAAAAATAGCCAAACTTTTTCCATGGTATTCTTTTTTGATAAAACCTCAAGAACAATTGCTTCAATTGCTTTAAGTTGGATTCAATTCCATTTGTTCCCAGCATTGATCAAGCAGTTTATTGTCATGTAAGTAGACCATGAGAAGTCCCCTGTTGGACAGCCTGGGGAATCACTCTTCTCATGTTAGTGTCAGGAGTGTGAACCCTTTGCAACTGCATTAACTGAATCTGCATAACAGCATCTTTCTTTTTGTTTACTCCAGGTACTATGAGTATTACAAAAGTCCAATGGAGCAGATGCATGAGCGTTGTGAAAACTACCCCCCCTGTGACTATCTTTCCGACCAAATAGGATTTTCCATGGCCTACAACCGTTTCTTTGGGAGATACTAGGGATGGGATGGTCATTTTGTCCACTCTAAACCACCTGGAAGAAAGAAGGTTGTGGGTGGGAAGGAGAGAAGAAAACCATCTAGACTGGAGTCTTCTTCTGTTGTCTCCCTAACCAGTTGGAACACCAAGGCAACAATTATTACACTTGTTTAGCTTGCATTAGCTTTTTTCCTGTCACCAAAAAAGTCTCCCTTCAGTTGCCTTTTGTGGCATTTTGAGCTTCACCAGAAAACTCTGTCTTACCCCATTCCATTTGAATCCCTAAGACACAATTGGTGAAAAAAAGGGATTACTCTAAGGAAAATCAATATATGCCTTAGCAACACAACTAGACCTTTTGTCATCTTCTGCAAGATGAGGAAGGGTTATAGAAGAAGGATGTCACACTGTGTGTAAATGCAATGGATCTGACCCTAGGATGCTCACTGGGAAGAAGGCAGAATGGATGACTCCTGGTACAACGACTAGGAAAGTTAACTATTTTCAGGTAGTATGATCACCCTAAATATGTGCTAGTGTAGGATCATTTTCTAAAGACAAGTGTGGAAATACTATTATACTCTCACAAAATTTGCCTGTATAGCAACAACAGATAAATCCCAAAAGGCATGTTTAAGGAGTCCTTTTAGATGAACCCTTCCATTTGTATGCTGCATTCAGTGACTGTCTTTTTAAAAAGTAAGTTGGCAATCTTGTTGTTTGTGTTACGACTGGTTTCTGGTGAAACTGATTATACCCAAGCGCAATAAAAAAAATAATCTGTTCTTTCTGATGCTTTAGCACTTATGCCTGAAACTTAAAGTGTCTAAATAGCTCCAAAAAAAGAGGAAGAATTAAAAAAAGAATAAACACTGAAATAAACAAAAATAAAATCGGTTCAAGACAACTTGTATCTCTCATATATATATGTACATATATAAAAAATATGTAGTTATATACATATCCACCCTCTGTACTACTTCATTCTGTCCCCTGGTGTGAATGTTATACCTTAACAACTTTCTGCACAGCCCCCATTGATGTGCTTTGTCAGCTTCCTTCTCTGAAACATAGATGGCAGGTCCCATCTCCAAAAAAAAAGAGACTGTTGACCATCAGGAGGCTGAAAAAGACCAGATCTCTCTGACTGTGTGTAAGCTGATGCAGCCATCTCCAGCTGCCTAGTACAATACTGCTTATGCAAAGCAGGTTGGTATGCTGCTTCTCTCTGTTTCTCTGAACAGCCTTCATCTGTGGTTAAAGAGATGCCTGAAGGATAAAGCCTGCTCTTGTGACCCCTGAGTAGCAGGGTCCCTGCGTGTGAGACTGCCTTCTCCTCTCCTGTGCCTCAGTGTGAATCAAAAGTGACGACACTGAAATTCAGGTCATGATCCCAGTACTCTGTGACAGTGATGGAGAGGAGAGCCAGATTTTTCCTGATTTATCATCTGCTAAGTTCAGCATTTCTCTGAAAGCCCTTGCCCTACAGTAAGGACATGGGATAAGTCCGCAGAGATGGCTGCCAGTGTGAGTGTGAGCATCTCTTGTTTGGCAAGCTGCTACGACTTGTACTGGCCATGCTGATCTTGGCCAAGGAGAAGATGGTTAATGTTAACAGTTAATCTCTGCTTTCCTTGGTCAAACACCTGAGACTGGTTCCTCTACTGGCATAAACTGATGGACTTTCATTGCTCACAGCAAAATTGAACTTAATGCCATCCAACAAAAATGAACAAAATGCTTGTTGAAATCAGTGAAAATTTTGCTGGGAAAACCACTGAAATCCTAGTGCCTGCTGTACTGTAAGTTAGGGGGGTTGTTACTGTATGATTTTGTTCACACAAAAAGAAAATCAGGCTTCCTGTCTATATTTGCATCTTTGAATTAGTTTTATGTTTCCCTCTCCCTTTCAGTAAATATTTTTTTCAGGGAAGTTGCACATGAAGGCCTCAGTCATGTTGTCTGCTCCAAGTTACCAGATGTCTATACGGGTTGAAGTCATTACAACCTTTGGAGATCTGAGTGCAGAAATTTATTGCTGGAATGGAGAAACTGTATTTTAGCTTGGTTAAAGCAGATTGAAGTACCACTATTAATCCTCTGCTGCCATCTTATGTCCGTTGTATTTATTGTAGTTAATGATTACGTTGCTTTTGAAGCATTTGAAAATATAAATCCAGTGGGCTTTCTTCCTGATTTGCTTTGTTCTACAACATAAGATAAAAGGCCAGAAGGGAAAAGTAGAGACATAATCTGCAACTCAATTATATTCAGCTGAATTGAAATGTTAGTGGGGCTGTTTTTCCTGATTTTCAAGTTCGCACTGGAGCCTGCCACAGTTTATCTCCTTTTCATCTCTTCACAAGCAGAAGAGGAGATGCCTCTGAATAAATTCACAAGCTGTTCTGTGAACTCACTTTTAGCAGCCAAAGAACCACTTTCTAAAATACAGCCCAGGACGGTAGAGCAATTCCAAGAAAGCAAAGTGGGAAGGCTGCATTTATCACTTTGCATCATCCTTCATGCCATCACCTCATATCACTAGTGGCATATCACTAGATAGCATCAGCAGCATCAGCAGCATCAGCAGGAGCAGTTATAGATTATTTTGCAAGAAACCCATTATGAAAACTTATGTCATCTCTCACCCTGTTTCAGCAATATTCAGCAAATGCTGTTTGTCCCTAGAACCCAAGCAGATGCACATACATCTCTTTTCTCAGGGAATCACACCATGTCTGCAGGTGCCCCCCTCACTCGGGCTATCACTAGCAGGCAATGGAAAATGGACTTCTAGAATAGAATCGTAGAATAGCATCATAGAATAGTTAGGGACTATATACTTAAAGGGCCTTAAGATCATCTAGTTCCAACCCCCCTGCCTTGAGCAGGGACACCTCACACTAAACCATGTTACCCAAGGCTCTGTCCAACCTGACCTTGAACACCGCCTGGGATGGAGCATTCACAGCTTCCCTGGGCAATCCATTCCAGTGCCTCACCACCCTTAACAGTAAAGAACTTCTTCCTTATATCTAATCTAAACTTCCCCTGTTTAAGTTTTGACCCATTACCCCTTGACATATCACCACACGCCCTAATGAAGAGGCCCTCCACAGCATCTTTATAAGCCCCCTTCAGATACTGGAAGGCTGCTATGAGGTCTCCACGCAGCCTTCTCTTCTCCAGGCTGAACAGCCCCAGTTTTCTCAGCCTGTCTTCATACAGGAGGTGCTCCAGTCCCCTGATCATCCTCGTGGCCTCCTCTGGACTTGTTCCAACAGTTCCATGTCCTTTTTATGTTGAGGACACCAGAACTGCACACAATACTCCAAGTGAGGTCTCACAAGAGCAGAGGGGCAGGATCACCTCCTTCGACCTGCTGGTCACGCTCCTTTTGATGCAGCCCAGGATACAGTTGGCTTTCTGGGCTGCGAGCGCACACTGCCAGCTCATGTTCAGTTTCTCATTGACCAGGACCACCAAGTCCTTCTCTGCAGGGCTGCTCTGCATCTCTTCTCTGCCCAACCTGTAGCTGTGCCTGGGATTGCCCTGACCCAGGTGTAGGACCTTGCACTTGGCATGGTTAAACTTCATGAGGTTGGCATCAGCCCACCTCAGAAGTGTGTCAAGGTCCCTCTGGATGGCATTCCTTCCCTCCAGCCTATCAACCGAACCACCACAGCTTGGTGTCATCGGCAAACTTGCTGAGGGTACTCTCAATCCCACTGTCCATATCACTGACAAAGATGTTGAACAAGACCAGTCCCAACACCGATCCCTGAGGGACACCACTCGTTACTGGTCTTCAGCTGGACATTGAGCCATTGACTACAATTCTTCATGTGTGGCCATCCTGCCAGTTCTTTACCCACCAAGTGGCCCATCTGTCAAATTGATGTCTCTCAAATTTAGAGACAAGAATGTCTTGTGGGACAGTGTTGAACACTTTGCACAAATCCAGGTAGATGATATCAACTGCTCTACCCTGTTCACCAGTTCCATAGCTCCATCATAGAAGGTCACTAAATGGGTTGGGCAGGATTTCCACTTAGTGAAGCAATGCTGGCTGTCACCAACCACCTTGTTGATTTCCATGTGCTTTAGCATGCCTTCCAGGAGAATCTGCTCCAAGGTTTTGCTAGGCACAGAGGTGAGACTGACTGGTCTGTAATTCCCCGGGTCATGCATTTTCCCCTTTCTTGAAAATGGGGGTTATATTTCCCTTTTTCCAGCCATTGGGAACTTCACCTGACTGCCATAATTTTTCAAATATGATGGACAGTGGCTTAGCAACTTCATTTGCCAGCTCCTTCAGGACCTGCGGATGGTCATCAGGTTCCATGGACTTGTGCACATTCAGGTTCTTAAGACGATCTCGAACCAGTTCCTCTCCTACAGTGTGTCTAAGGTCTTCATTTTCACAGTCCCTGCATCTGCTTTCCAAGACTTGGGTGGTGTGGTCAGAACATTTGCCAGTGAAGACTGAGGAAAAGAAGTCATTCAGAACCTCAGCCTTCTCCAAATCCAGGGTAGCCAGTTCTCCTGATAGCTTCCGTAGAGGGCCCACATTGTCCCTAGTCTGTCTTATTTGCAAGCTAACCATAGAGTCCCTTCTTGTTATCTTTCACACCCCTCACCAAGTTTAATTCTAACTGGGCCTTAGCTTTCCCAACCTGGTCCCTTGCTTCCCAGACATCCATGTATTCTTCCCAGGCCACCTGTCCTTGCTTCCGCCTTTTTTTTCCTTCGAAGTTTCCTCAGCAACTCCTTATCCATCCAAGGAGGTCTCCTGGCCCTCCTGCTGCACTTCCTTCTAGTTGTGATGCAGCATTCCTGAGCTTGTAGCAGGTGGTCCTTGAATATCAACCAACAGTCTTGGGCCCCCCTACCCTCTAGGGCTATATCCCATGGAACCTTACTGAGCAGGTTCCTGAAGAGGCCAAAGTCTGCTCTCTTGAAGTCCAGGGCAGTGACCTTGCTGCACGCTTTTCTCACTGTCCTGAGGATCTCGAACTCCACCATCTCATGATTGCTACAACCAAGGTTGCCCTGGACTGTCACATTTCCAACCAGCCCTTCCCTGTTGGTGAGCACGAGGTCAAGGACGGCACCTCTCCATGTCGGCTCCTCTATTACTTGCAAGAGGAAGTCGTCTTCCACACAATTGAGGAACCTCCTGGATTGCTTGTGCTGGGCCATATTGTCCCTCCAACAGATATCAGGGTGGTTGAAATCCCACATGAGAACAAGGACCTGCAAGTGTGAGGCTGTTCATATCTGTCTATAGAGTACTTCATCCACAGAGTCCTCTTGATCAGGTGGTCTGTAACAGATCCCCACAGTAACGTCTCCCATCACTATTCTCCCTTTAACCCTGACCCACAAACTCTCTGTTGACTGATCATCTGTCCTCAGACAGAGTTCCATACTCTCCAGCCTATCACTGACATAAATAGCAACTCCCTCTCCCCATCTGCTGGGCCTGTCTTTTCTAAAGAGCCTGTAACCTTCTGTTCCAACACTCCAGGCATAGGAGCCATCCCACCATGTTTCTGTGATGCCTGTTATATCATACCCCCGTAGACGAGAACACATCTCTAATTCTTCTTGTTTGTTCCCCATGCTACGGACATTTGTATAGAGGCATCTGAGCTGAGCTCCAAATGAAGCCGCCTCATTGGCTGGAGCAGCCGGAATATCTCTGCATTGGTCCAAGCATTTATTGTAGGTGCTGGCAACTGACTGGGTGTATTGGGATGGAATGAAGCCCCCGCCCCTCCCCCAACACATCTAGTTTAAAGCTTTATTGACCAGCCTGGCAGGCCTCCTACCAAAACTGCGCTCAAGACCAGCCTCACCAGCCTCCAGTAGACCTGGCCTCCTAAATCGAGACTTCAATTCTCTGTAGTCAGAACAAGGCCCTAACACATCTTCTTGGCTATTTTCCATGCAGAGGAGCTATCAGAGACCATGAGGCTTTGCTGGCGAGGATCTGTATTTACACTCATTTTGAGCTTATCCAGTGTAAACAGTCCAACATGGTGCCACTCTGGTGTAAGGGTAGAATTGGCTACATGTTATTAGAAACCACGAGGAGCTAAGGAGGAGGAGGACAATTATCTCTGCTTCCAGATGGGATCCCAACCTACCCTGCATTTCTGTGTTGGCTTTATCAGAGCTCTGCACTTTTTTAAAAGGGCTCTTGACCAGGGAGTGCTCTCCACCTCATCCTGACACATAACTCCTCAGGAGAGACCTGCCTTGACATCTCCAAGCCAGGGAGTTCTTCCTTTTTGCAAGAACAAGAACATCAGATACCTTGGAATTAACAGAACTACCAAGGTGAAGGACACCAGACTAGATGGAGCTGGGGAAACCAGACCCTTCCTTACGGATTGTCAGCTCACTTCTACCAGTAAATTGTCTTTTTGGATTGATTAATGACTTCTGAATTGCTGTAAGAATCTGGTGAATGATCTTTAGTTGAAGAACTGTAACCAAAACCTGACTGCAAATTACAAACTGCAGAATCTTCCAGTTCAAGAAAAAGGGAAACACATATAAATGACCTCTACTTGGTCAAAAATATTCTCTATGATGTCTTAGGAAGACTCTGGGATGACAGTGCTGCTGGTTAGCCTTCTGTTGTTGATCTCTCGAATGCTGGTAAAAGGACTAAACATTGTTAACATTGTTCTTAATTTTAAATGGCAAAATTGCTTATCCCACTGAAATAAACCTTCCTCTTTCCCCTCTCCCCCCCCCCCCCCTCTTTTTTATCATTTGAAACATGTTCTTTAAGGAGCTTTGGGTTCTGCTTTAACTCTTCTGCTTTCAGTTGCTCTGTTGAATTTCTTATCTGTTCAAATTCCTTTTAACTACTTGGTTGGAAATTTCCTCTTGTTTGGAGCCAGGTGGTTTTCCAGGGTATGTTTGTGAGTAGATCTCATGGAATTATGGTCCTCTCCTTTTTTTCCAGCCTGTCTTGGCCAAGGCTCTGTCAAAATGTTTTGTTGGGTGGGACAGTGATAATATCGCTCTATTTCTTGTAATGCCTTTTAGCTTTCCATCAGAGCAATTATGGCATCATAGAGAAACTGAATCCCCATGTAGTTTATGAGCCACTATAACTTCAGAGGCTAAGAAAGGTATCAATCTGGTTATGTGTCTAGGATGAATACTTGACATGAAGCGAACTTCTACTTACAGAATTCAATTATCAACTGACTACAGTACATGATCAGTCTACTGGGAGATCAAACAGCAAAAATAACAATGCCATAACTCGCACCATTTCTTAGATCTTATTACAGAAGATTTTTATTAATTAGAAATGCTAGAAACAGATAGTGTTATATATTAGACGTTATTTTCCTGTTACAGCACTCAGTTGTGTGAATCTTTACACATTCATTTAAGGTATGACAAGTCAGGCTGGCCTCCCCGAGACAAACTGGATGAACAAAAGTTTTAGTTCACTGCTACTATACTGTTCTTTACTGAACATCAGTCCCTGAAGTCAAAACATGTCCGAGAGGTATGACAAGACAGGAAGAAGAAATTTACCTCTGAGAGTGTTCAGGCTGCATTGACCCTAGCACAATTTTTCTTCTTTTGCTTATTCTTTCCCTTTTCAAAAGCACTTATTAATCATGAGCACAATATTGAAATAACTGGACCGTGGGTTTGTCCTCCAGGCTTTATACCCTCACTTTCTGAAGGACCAACTCTTCTTAAGTTTTCAGTGCCACTCATCCACATGAAATAAGAATTTTGGCATCCTGGCTGGAATTTGCCTGAGGTGGGACTTGGACAATAACCTGAGGCTGCTCAGGGTGGTTTTGTCGAAGATGCCTACCTGCTGTCCTTGCTTTGCCTGTAATGACAAAGAGGCAAGAAGAGGGCAGGGAAAAATTGTCTTGCATCCACAGACATACACAAAACACACATGATACTAATCATCATTTGCTTTTATGTTGTAGGCTGCATGCCAGCTCATGATGGATATGGCTTTGCATTCCTTTGATGACCAGTATCTAGGGTGCAGAGAGCAGGTGATGGAAGAACTGGAGAGAGGAGACTATTTCCAAAAGGAAATAGCTGCTAACAAGGATTATTTGAGTCTCTGGAAGAAGGCTCAAGAAGCTTTGTTAAAGAGCCCTGTAGGTCTCCTGAGGGAGATGCAGGAAAGCCATGCCATAGTCCTCATGGCTTACACCATGAACTCTTCCCTGCACTCTCAGCTGAACTGGGCCACATCTACAGCAGGAAGTTCTCCAGAGCACTACAGACACAACTTCAGTTTCAAATATTTTCACTTTTACCTGACAACTGCTATTCAGATAATGAAGCAATGGCAGAGCAGCAAGGAGAGCATGGGGAAACGTAAGTGCTACCGGGTGCACAGGGGTGTAAAAGACTTGTATATCAAAGCCATGGAAGGCAGCAAGGTGCGATTTGGCCGTTTCACCTCTACCTCCCGCCTCTGGAATGAAGCTCAGAAGTTTGGGAATGAAACTTTGTTCACAGTGACCACTTGCCTAGGAGCAGCTATGCAAGGCTTTTCTTACTACATATCTGAAAAGGAAGTCCTCATTCCCCCTTATGAGACATTCCTTGTCAAAAGCTTCTCTCAGACACAGCACGGTAACCGTCTGCATCTTCATTCTGTGGGGAACTACAGCAAGTACCACTGCCATCTCGTGGAAGGTACCGTATACAGATGTTCATGCGGGCGGGAGCGGGACAGTGTTTCCAAGGTCCCCAAGCAGCCCCCGCCAGCTGCACCAACACGGGTCCACACCGAAGGCCAAATCTGTAGCTGTGTTCTCTGTGTCCACCTATGAGAGCCACATGACCCAGGTTTTTACTTGTTTGTCATGAAACCTGGGAGCACACCACAGTTCACCTGATACACAGAAGGTTGCAGGGCTCTTTGTTACTTCCATTTATCCCATCTGCCATTGCAAGGATGTCATAGGACACATGCATTTGGGTCCCTCAGCATTCCTATTGCAAAGGCAGATGAGATTTGCAGGCAGCTTGAATTCAGATATTTATTCTGGTGGCTTCCAAGGCTGCTGCGCTTCAGGCCTCAGGATTGTTCTGGGCTTTGGTCCACTACTACTCCGGCAAGCTGAGGTAAGCGCGAACAAAACTACCATTGCTTTAGTGGTGTTTTCTCTCCTGTGAGAACAGGGAGGAAAGGTATCCTTTGGCAATGCACATGCATAGTTTCCTGGCTATAGAGCTAACTCCATGCTGGAAGACCTCACTGGGTCTGTTCCAGTTAATGAGTACACCACCAATACCCTTGCTTTTGTCTCTTTGGACAATAGTGTGTCAATGCAACCTTAGAGCAAAAAATAATTATTCAGAAGTCAGAGTTTGTGCCTGGACCTAAGCCAAAGTAGTAGATTGACTTGAAAAATGGCTCTTCTGGGAAAAGCTTGTGTTATCAAGTTCAGGAAGCTCTAGGCAGCAAAAAAAAAAGGTCTAAATGACTGCTCTCTTGGCTTTATTTCAGCTTCAAGAAGCAAGAACAGTGGTTCCACTGCCCTCACCTCAGCCATTCTTCCTAGTGTAGTTGGAGTTTTCATGTGCTTGGTTCACAGTGACTGATTCTCTGGCTGCATCTAGATATATGCACTTGAATAGCAGGTGAGAAGAACTACAGGAAATCAGACTCTGGAGTTCCTGTTGCTACAGAAGGTTCAACCCTCCCTTTGCTTTCAACTGCAGCTCTCCAGCTGAGACCGTAACATTCAGCCTGACTCATGAAATGATACATTCCTTGCACCCTTTCAGGTAGGAGGGCAGTTATCTATGGCCTTTCTGAAGAACAGGTCAGCGATACCCTTCACTGTATGTAGTTTTTCCCATACGCATTCAGGAAAGACACACACACAGACTCTGGATTCTTTGCAGATCTCTTTGTGCCTTTATTTTTAGTGAGAAAGAGTCTGTGGGATGCAAAAGGCACTTAAGGAATTTTTATGTCTTCATATTTTAGCAAATTGAATGAAGGAGCTTGAGGCTCAGCATCTTGTGTATCAGATTTAGGTATCTGTAATGGAAGAGGCCAACATCTAATAATCTGAAACCTAGTAACATGTTCTGTGAAACTGAATTACTGACCCTGAAATCCTGAGACATGGTTGCCTAGGCAGCCAGAACAGATTCAATACAGAACTATTTTACCATTAACTTGTTTTCTGTCTGTGTGTCATGTTACTTTCTTGTTGCTGTTTGTTTACCAGTTATTTGAAATAAGTTGTTAGAACTTGATGTTGACCACTAAATGCTCAAAGATACTAAGCTCAGATTTCAAAATTAAAAACACTAGAAACAGCTGCTGCAGATACTTCTTTTATGTGTGTTCAGACATGCTCAGACTCTTTCCTATGTGAGAATTAGAGGAATCAAGATGGATTTCTGACACATCAGCATGTTTATAGTTCTTCTTGCTTCTCTTTTATCACGTGGATGCAGGCTTCAACCATTTTGACAAAGGTTTGGAATCTTTCACAAGGTGGTCTCAACACCCTGAAAGCCTCCTCTAAGTAGTCAGCTGCTATTTTCAGGCTTTTCTTTATGGATCTGTGTCCTTGAAGGATAGCCTGTAGGAAAACAAGAAGTGAAGAGAAGGACGACACAGAGCGAAGCCTGCGTGGTTGTGGTGGTTCATCTGAGGAGGAGCTGTCTTCTGTTGCACTTGGTGCCTCATTTTCTTGCAGCATCTTCACAATATCAGCATAATCCATGAGAAGGTCTGATACTTGGAGGGATAAGGCAGGTGAACTCAATAACTGATGCATAGCAAACTCTACTGTGTCAGGGAAATTGTCATGTTTCAACATCACTGCAACGAGAACACCCATGATGCTTTCTACTGTCTCCTTGTATTTCTCATAAAGTTCCTTTACCGCAGTGATCTTGTCCTGCAGGGGGGTGGTGGGACCGGCAATCCTAGCATACAAACTTTGGCTGATGCTTTCATGTACATCTTTGTCTTTTGATTCCATGTTGGCTTGCATCTCTTTCAAAGCACTGACCAGGAACTGTAGATTATCTTTAATGCTGAAGTTTTCTTTTACTGACATGATAGGGAAGTCGGTGCCAAAATTTCTATTGAGGAGTCGGAAGATTGCGTTGATGGAAGAGACATAGATGTACACTAAGTCATGAAGATTCTGACAGGCCCTGACCAGCCTTTCTTTATTACTCATAAAACCAAGGCGGGCTAACATTTCTGGAGTAGGATCTGACTCTGAAAAATAGAGGAAATACAGAAGACATGGGGGAATAAAACTAGATATATTGTTATGAATTAATTTTAGTTAGTTGAAATTTTTAAATGTGTTCTTTTGACTGGTGGTTTTGCTTAGCTATACTATATAGCTATGTAAGTATGTAATGATACGTACTATATATTATAGTATCTACATACTATAGTATGCATATATATATATAAGTATGTAACTATATATATGACTATATAGGTAATTGTTTAGCATAGGAAGCTAAAGTTTACTGGAGTCTTTGGCTAAAAGTAGCTAACTCTGACTTAGATAAAGCTGACCTTAATTTACAACCTTTGCTTAGTTATGCAAATGAAGGCCACAAGACCATTGCAAATTGGAAGATAGGAGTTGAAAACATTAGCAAGGAGCAACAGAGAGATAAATAACGTATGGATCTCCTGGAGGTAAAGAAAGAACCCAGTGATGGACAAGGGGACCCCAGACCAAAATTCAGTCCTGGGCCAAGAGGCACATGCAAGGTGCATACATTGAAATGGTAGAAAATCCCAGGAATTTATTTTTTCTCAGTCCCTCCCTAGAGACACACAGTCTTAAGCTGCTCTTATTCCTGTAACACCCCATTAGCAAATTATTTATCTAAGAATCAGAAGTCTGAGACTGTGCTTTGGGAAACCTAGAGCAGAAAATTTTCTTTAACAATATTTTCAGATAGAATGTTATATTTCTGAAACCAGTATTACAAATTTTCAATCCACCTGACCCTTCCTCCCCCAAAATGTTAGAAGAAAACACAGAAACAGGTCTTTGTCAGCCTTTGTAGGGTCTCACTAAGCAGGCCAGCAAAATATGGTGTAAATAGCAGCAACTATTATTACTCTTATGGCTGCAGGAAGTTGTGTCTCTGACCTTCAGCATGTAATCTGAAAAGGAATGGAAGTGATGTAAGTGAATTATTATTTTCTTTTGGTGTTTATTGGTAAATTTATGGGAGTCCTAACAAACAATCTACACCATTCTTGGAACCATAATCTTTCAGTTTGTATATAGTATCATAGAATAGTTCGCATTGGAAAGAACCTTAAGATCATCAAGTTCCAACCCTCTGCTATGGACAGGGACATCTCACACTAAACCATGTCAACCAAGGCTCTGTCCAGCCTGGCTTTGAACACTGTCAGGGATGGAGCATTCACAAATTCATTGGGCAACCCATTCCAGTGCCTCACCACCCTCACAGTGAAGAACTTCTTCCTTACATCTGATCTGAACTTCCCCTGTTCAGGTTTGAACCCATTACCTCTTGGCCTATCACAACAGTCCCTAATGAAGAGGCCCTCCCCAGCAGCCTTATAGGCCCCCTTCAGACACTGGAAGGCTGCTACAAGGTATGGTGGATCTATGCAGAATTCAATTCATACTGTTGGGAGGGGGAAGTAAACACAGCAAAATCAAATGCATCAGACATCTACATTCAAGTGACAAGAGACTGAAGACAGAGTAATACAAGGTTTTGTCAGGCTACAATTTCCTGCAAAGTGACCCATATCTGTCAGTTCATATAGCAGTTAGATGTTGCAAGCATCCTTTGACAGGTAGAAGCACAAAACATTTCCTTTGCTTGGGCTCCCACCTTGCTACTGTTTTGACTGCTAGGGAAGTTATGTCCTTCTACTTGCACCTAAAGAGCTCTTCCAAGGCCAACTGTAGGTATAGTCCTGGGACATTACGTGGCTGAGGACTGCTCCTGATTTTGCCTTTGCTTGTGCCAGAGCCTCGAAAAGCCAGACTGGTTGCAGAAGATGTGTTTCATCAGCTATTGTTGTGGTTAGGTGTGTCCAAGCAGTTGAAATTTCCCATCTCACTTCATACTTCAGAATTTTCTCCCAGTGCTCAGCTCAGCCCTCTGTCTCTTCCTTCTTTCCCTTTCCATGGTAAAAGTGGTATGAAATTGTGTGGAATGGCAAAGATTTTAACCTCCACTGCTGTTTAGCCAGAGCTGGCTCTAGGGCTCCACACAACTTCCATTCTCATGGCATCAGAGCAGAGGACCTTGCAAAATGTGGCAAAGAAGGGTGATATCATCCCCTTTCAGCCATGGCTAAAGGTACCTGTGCTGGTACCTTTGTTGTAGGCAGGGGTATTCATACTGTACCTGTTATCTCCAGGAACAAAAGGCTTTTCGAGGATCTAACTATTGGGAACTAGCATTAAATAAACTGAAATATGTTCAAATTGGAAGGGGGCAGGAGTAAGAAAATGAGATGAATCTGGGTAAACACCAAACAATAGAATTAATGATGAGCAGGCAGGCAACAGGACTGAGGTGAAGCCCAGCCTCTGGATCCCTAACTCATCACATGCTACTGGAAACAACCAGAGGAACACACGGGAAAGAGATGAAGTCACTGTCCCATATACATTTCAGCTGATTGCAGGAGCACTCAGACAAAATCAGGTAGGTAGTCTAAATGTTTAATTAGAAAAGCTTCAGGAGCGAATCTCCCTGGAGCTGGAGAAATAGTCAGAAATACAGGAATATATGTGGCTTTCCTAACTCCAGAAAGCAAATGTAAAAATTCTTGCATGTTAATGTGAACAGTAAAAGGTGCTTTTAGTATTAAGAGACATAAAATCTAGAGCATTTATAGGAAGCTGAAATAATTATGCATAAAGAACAGATGCTAAAAAGTCTCCTCCACACCTGTCAAATACGTTAAATATTTGTTGAAGTCCTGTTCCTCTTAGAACATTTTATCTTCTCAGTTTCTACAAATAAGGTAAAACAAATGACCTTTCAACAAAGCATCACTCGAGCAGAAAGTATCTAATACCACACTGAGTCAGAGAGCAAGTCAGCAACATCCTTGAGGGAGGACTGGTATGAAATCATACTTTGCACTGACATGGCTTTATGTTTCCTGAAAATCACAAACCTTTCCTGTATGTTTACTTTGCTCCCTCTAGCTTGAAGAAGAAGGAAAATGTGTTAAAGAGTTTATTCTCTTGACAGAGCTGCAAGGTAAGTGGCTGAAAGAAATGTACAGCACTGTGTAAAATAGTGTGGAAAAAATTACCTTCAGACAGGCTTGTATTTCAACAGAGACAAAAAACTGGCTGGGGAACTGTTGAAATCATTCTCGTTTTCTACACGGATCTTGTGGGGGAGGGTGTGTTTGGTAAAATACAGCTGGGTCACTGTCAGATGGTTTACAGTTAGCAGTTAATGCAAGAACTACAAAGGACCAAAATGGTATCAAATTATCATTTTAAGAATAAAAATCTAGCTAGTACCGTACACATACCTATTTGAAGTTATGATATGTAGGCACCAACAGCAAGAGGAGATTTATCTTGGAAATATGTGAAACACTGCACAAAAGTGGCCCAGATTTGCAGTAAGAAGACTGAGAAAAAAGAAGTGCCAACAAAGAAATGAGTCATCCTGCTCATTCAGTATGTCCCTGTTGCAAAGTAAAAACATATGCATTCAAGTCAAAATCATGCTACAGCATGATTACTTTGCAGCTGGTGATGGATTAAAGGGAAATGGTATGAAGAATGACTCCATGATCACAGGTAATTCAGTTGCTTTGGACTCTGTATATTGACATGGAAGTAACGAAGAAAAATGTTCTTTTGCTGGCAAACCAGCGACAGCTCAGAGAATAATGACCATAAGGGCTAGACACAAGTGTTTGCAGGGGGAGGAATCAAACTAGTTAAGTTTTGTGCTCTGGTCTGTACAGTGATAAGGAAGAGTCGGATTCTGCTCAGTCAAGGTTTAAGAGCCTGGTGAGCATCTGCTGATACTGGACACTCTGGGAACGGAGGGAGTGTGGCTGTGCAAGCAGGGCTCTCCCTGCAGCCCAGTGCTTGCTGCTCCAAGGCCATCTGGCAGCACAGACATCCTGCTGCAGTAGGTGCTTCCATGGCATGCTGAACATCAGGTGCTCTCTGCAGTGTTCGATGTTCACGAGTGAGAAAACAATGGTGAATTGATTACAGCATTAGGGAGGTGAATAAATAATGAGGGAAGAGGGACTAAATATCAGGGAAGGAAATACAGTGCGAGATGTGTGTTAGGTGATAGAGGTTAGGATGGGTTTATCATAGATATTACTATTTTCTATGAATTACCAAGTGTGAATTTATTACTATAAGAACAGAGGGCTTATATACTAACATTTTCTCTTGACTGTGAAGAGAAATAAGCTACACTGACATAAAACACCCTTATGGTGACAAAGACTGTGCCTACTCCATCAGTCATAAAAATCAGATGCCACTAACTGAAAAAAAAAGAATAAAAATAGGCTGATACAGAGATCTGTCTAGAACAGGCCTTTCCTTTGCACAGCTTATTTTAGATTCTGCTGATTAAATGAGACTGTTCTGGTTTTTAATGAACTAGTTCAGCTTCTACCATGTTCAGTTTCTAAGGGGAAGAATGACCCATGTTCATTTTACCAATCTGCTAATTGCTTATTTGTTGGCTATTTTTATTGCTCCATATTGAGCAATATATTCCATGCCTCATAGGGTCCTTTTCCAATCATTTGGTTAAAGATCCAAAGATCTTTAGATCAGAAGAATTAAGATTTCTAGATTTACAAGCTATGACTTGGGATTTGAATCTCTGAGTATAGAAAGAACCAGTAAGGCAGAGACAAAGCACACTTCACTGCTCTGTAAGGGCTAGGGTTATGGTGCTGAAGAGAGTAATATATTTCTTTTCTCTCTTGAAGTAGATTATTCTAAAGAATGGCGCTGAGTGACCTCCTTTACCCAGATAACCCCAAGAGAAGGCAAGAATTGATCCATCTGCACCAGGAATTGCTTGACTGCATGTCCACAAATTTCCATGCAACAAATGAGCTGGCTAGAGTGCTGAATGAACACCTGGGCTGTACCATTACCTACATTCAGATGAGAGAGAACAGAACAGTCAAGGAAAATTGTGACATTATCATCCAAGCAATGAGTGAGATTCAGCATCAGGTACAGAAGATTGATAGTGACCTGAAGGAAAAGCTAGAGCCTGTGCTGTACCAGAAGCTGTATGACATCAAAGAGCCTGAGCTGGAGAAAATAGCAATAGCCCATAAAGTTTTTTCCATTGTACTTGGAGAAGCGACTTCAACAGCTGGGATGGTAGCTATCAAACTTCTCAGCTCCAATTTTTTAACGCTCACTGTGAGCAAGCTCGTCAGTCTCCTTGCACAGATTGGGGCATCCGTTCTTGGGGGAATCAGCATCACTATTCTTGGACTCGGCATCGAAATGATTCTCCATGCCATTCTGGGAGCCATGGAAAGGAATCAGCTTCTGGCAGCTGTGAGAAGCTATGAGAAGCACCTGGCTGAGTTTAAAGCAGCCTCAGAAAAGTACCGGCGTGCCATACATGAAGTGACTTCTTTGGTGAGACAGCAGGTTCAGTGAATGAAGTCAGAGCTCTTTCTCCTGCTGTGAGAGTGGCTGCAGCAATTATGCCCACAGAAGCCTTTTTGCTTCATTATGGTAAATGAACTACTGATGGCTTTTTTTTCTTATTAGTGGCAAGAGAGCAAGAGACCAGGGAACTGGCATTGAAATATATTAATAAGGAACTGGCTTATAGGTGCTTCTGGGAGGTAGCACTTCAAATATGTTGCAACTTTTCTTCAGCTATTTTCTGGGGTGCACTGTAGATAACTTTGAACTGTAACTTATACTTGTGACATACTCCTCACTGCTGGAGTAGTGGTGAGGAGGTGTGATTTTTCTCCTATGTTTCCATATCAAACATGACAATATGGTGGGAGAAAAAAATTTCAGCAATCATCAGGATGGCTGTCTGCTAAACTCAGAGTGTGGATTAGTGCTAAATCTGGTAGGCTCAATTCCATGTTTGTTGGACTGCTTACAAGGACTAGCTGAAGCATATTTAGCTGCTATTTCCTGTCCCATCCCTGCCTAAGAAGCTAGACAGAGATCTTTAAATAAACTCTAATTCCAGTAGATTAGCAGGTAAGAGAAGCATGGGCCTACAAGCAAACACACACAATCTTGCCACACAACTGAGAGAAACAGGCTGTAGTGTTCCAGGCTGTGAATGACCTCTTATTCTCAGCACTGCCGTGCTCCTGCCAACCTACAGGTAACTATTTCCGTGCACAGTTGCTACTTTGTTGATTGAAATGGGATGCTAAACATGTACAAGTATCTGTAGGATTACAGCCCTATTAATGCACCAAGTGCTTTATTTTGAATCTTCACCAGTGTGGGACTGCCAACAGCGTGCTTAGATTCTGCATTTCACAATATGCTACCAAATGTCCTTATTTTTCAGATTTTAAAAACAAAGCTGGAAGCAGGAACATTATTTGCAGTCTCTTGCTCTGATTTGCTGTGGTTTGTTTGGTTTGGTTTTTTTTTTTGCTTTGATCTTTTGAAAAAGAAAAAAAAAGGTAATAAAATCATTAATAAAAATGTACCTGATTATTGTAAAATTTCTTTTTCCTGTAATGGTTTGTTTGAGTTTTTTTATATTCTGTCTGAAAAACCATCTTAAACCAATTAATGAAAAAATATTAAAATCTTCATTATAGATCCAATTTATTTTTATAACCATGATAGACTAATCTAGTAGGATTGCATATAGGATCCTTTTTTGGTATGAGCTTCCCCCATACTAAAAGCATATCTGAATTCATACATGTTTGTTAATATTCAATATTACCAATATTATGCATTATATTGATAACTAGATTGTGCCTGTGAACGTAGAGAGATGAGTGAGATTACAAGGAAACTCTACATTGGCTTCATAACACTTCAATTTTGGGTTTTGTTTTTTTGTTGTGTTTTCTCCCTTTCCCCCCACTGTTCCCATTCTGATTATCTTTTCTGACTCCTCTTTGCTTTTGTGTTCAAAAGCCACTAGATGCCAGTGCAGCTGCTGGCTATCAAGCAGCTCTGCCAGCTCTCAGGGAGAGAATCCAGGGTTCAGGAATATGGATGGATAGCACAGACTGACAAACTGGGACGAGCACAAGCCATGAATTGGGCAATGTGGGCCAAGAGATGCAACTCAGAAGAGGCAAAAACCACTGCCTTTCATGAGGCATCGTGGTGGGTGACATGGTGACCTGAGGCATCATTTCTCCAAAATGTGACATCTCCTACCTCCTGACACAAGTGGCACTCAGTTTAGAGGTACTTGTTTAGTGGCAAAAGACTGCCAATCAGCAGAACAGTGATGTTTAGCTGTTAGAGAGGCAGGAGTTCCTGGCTTCTGCTGACTTCCTATGTACAAATATACATTCTAATTTACGAATAAAACCCACCACCTCAGCACATATTGTTATGACATTGACAATCACTGCTGAATAAAAATAGCAGGGTCAAATAAAACAAATCTGTTGTACTTATCAGACAGTTTGCTGACATTTTCTTGAAAACAAATTCTAAGTGGGGTCAGGAAGCAGGACACATAATGAGGAACATAAAGATATACACTATCTACTCACTTCTTGTTCCTGGTGGACTTAAAGGAATTCTGGCTTTCCCACAATGGCCATGAGATGTTGGAAGATGTTGAAGATGTTAGAGGCTGGCGGGAAGCAGCCTGTCCCTCTGCTTACTGGGCCAGCTTCTCCCATCACCTAGGAGAGCCACCTCTGACTTCATAAAGGCGTACAGCAACATCCAGTCACAAGAAGATGGTTTTGAGGTAAAAAACCTGCCAATCAGCTTGGGACTTTCCCAAACTCCTTCCCTCAACTCTAACAATAAGACAGTCAATGGGATTTACTTGCATTACAAACTGTTACGTACTTGAACTGAGTGCAGCATGCATTTAACTGGCTAGAGGCAAGGGAGAGCACCCAGTGGAGCAGGAGCAGGAACAGCTTAGCTCCATATCTGCTTCTTAACTGAAACTCTGTCCCACAAAATAAGAGGTAGCTCCTGCCCTCTCTAGCCCTCTGACCAGTCTTGCATTTGTCCCCCAAAAATGTTATAACCAGTTTGCTGATGCTTCTCCTGGCCGTGTGGAACTGTTCTTGAGACTTCCTGGAGCTGCCTCTTGGTGTGACAGAACTGCCAAGTAAAAAGTATGACAGGATTATTGTCCTCCAAGTCAGCATACACTGCTGAGAGAAAGCAGTGTCTTGGGGTTGATGCAGTACCACTGAGCCCAGTATTGTCATGACAGAAGACCCCAAGCCTTGTGAGGAGTGGACGATTTTCAAAGCCTCATCTGTCTCCCCGTCCAGTGATATTGTACATGACAGGGATGTATGCAGCGTTCCCATCACACCGCCTCAGGCATTCTCCTTCTGCACAGTCTATTCTTCTGGACAAAAGATTAAGAGTTAAAATTGTATAATATGTGTTCCAAATAAGAACAGCCCTAAAGAAGAAAAGAAACTGTAAACGAGCCAAAACCAGTCTAAGATGCTTTCAAACCTGTGTAGAAACACTGTGGTTGCAACCAAACTCTGCACTGCAGTGAAGTCTTTCTGGTAACAAGAACAGTATAGAAGAACAGGCCAAAGAGGCACACGGAGGGGGTGACTCTGTTATATGCATGGCTAGGAAGGCTCCCCAGGCACTGAGAGCTCCTGGAGCCCTGGCTTTTTGGACGTTTCTGGACTGGTCAGCTTCTAACTTGGACTCTGTGCAGTTTATGAGTAATGTTGGTGTAAAAGCCAGACATAGGTTATAACCTTGCTTTTACCCACCCTGCAATGATTCTTCATAAAGTTCCAAGTTTGTAGCTGAGCCTCTATTGCTTGAAAGAGTACTGCAACGTTGTGTTGCATGGCACATTCACCAAGGGGTCTACAGGGGGGCTACAAATCCTGCTCAGAGATCAGACAACCTCTGCACCCAGGTGTATTTGTGCAGATAAAAATGCCCTTCCTACACCTCCCCTTGGCATGTTAATTCTTTTAAACTGCACCCATGCTTTATTGTTTGCCCCCTCCTTTTTCACAGTGGTGTAACTGGTACCCGAAGAAACCATGTATCTTTATCCTGGTTCTTCATGTGCCCGGGGGTTTTTGCTGGTAGTGGCACTTAGGGCAACAAGGCAGAACAGCTCTTACCCAGTGCTCACCAGTGTAAACTGATCATCACTTTACCACAAGGAATGTTGCAGGAAATGACAACTAACAGATTAGCTTCTGTGGTCCCTGCCGGGACCAGACCACCTCTCCTGTTCTCTGTACAGCCCGATGACCGTCATCCCACCACTTGGCTTCAGCAGTCCCTTCAAACAGCAGCTGGCACATGAGCCCAACAGAAGGATGCAGCAGCGCTGCCTTCAGGCCAAACCCAACACGAAACGCACAGAACACCTGTGACAGAGGAACTGCTCCCCCGACACTGTCTTTATTCCCCAGAGGCTCCTCGCACACCCCCCAGCTCTGCCTTGCTTCGCAACAAGGAGACGCTCTGTAGGATCCCCTCAAGAGAGCGTGCGGGAAGACTGCCGCAGTGACCACGGCCACGCCCTCTTGTCCCCGTAATATACCTAGCAGCGGCGTAGCATCTTCCCTCCATAGCTCTCCCTTGACCCGCTCCCAAAGTCCGGCGGGGCGGGCAGGGAGTCCCCCGTCCCCATTCACCCTCCTGATCCCGATCCGCCGCCTGAGCAGCCCAACGGCCCCCGCCGCGCACGCGCTTCCCCCCTTCCGGCCCCGCCCCCGGCCCGACCATAGAGCCGCGGATCATAGAGCTGCGGGTAGCACATAAAAGATCCCGCTTCCGGAGCGCGGGTCCGCACGGCGAGGTGCGGCAGTCGCACTTTACGGCGGCGTGCCGTTCGGTCCAGGCTCAAGATGGCGGTGGAGCCGCGGCGGCAAGGAGGGAGGCGGTGATCGAGGCCGCTGCGGCGGGACGGAGCCGGACTGGCCGGAGCCGAGCTGGCCGGAGGGGTGAGAGGAGCGGGACGGTGCTGAGCTGGGGAGGGGGAGGAGGAAGGAAGCGAAAGGAAGGCGACGTTTTGCACTACCGCCTTTTTTTCCTCCGTCGGGGGAGGAGGGGAGGCTTTCGTGTGCCTCATGGGAGGCTTACTGCCTCGGTCCTCTCTGCACGCCAAATTCATAAATTCAGTGGGATTTTTTTGTTTGTGTTTTTTTTTTGGGGGGGGGTTGGTGTTTCTTCGGCTGTTAAATTGCAGCATTGAAGCTCTTTGCTCTATATTCTGAAAGGATTAGGGATTGAGATTTCAGAAGTTTATTCTCTTCACCTTTACCTTTTAAATGTTAGAAATGCGGGAAAGGGTACTGTTTTCTGGCGAGTTTCCCACCGTGGGGTGCCCTTTCAAACAGCCAGGCAACTGCACATAGCCGTGTAGTAGGACCCATGAGCAGAGCTCTGTAGGTTTTTACTAGTCAGAACATTGAATGTGATCAGTTCTTGAAGCTTGTTAACACCCCTTTCTTTGTGAGGCCTTGATGCACTAAATGAGGCACAGTGCTTACATTTCTTTTTAAGGGTAAGGAAGGGCAGGCATGTTGTTTAGTGGCTTGAAAACGGCATCTGCTGTCGTTGTGGAAGAAGGGTGCATATGGTGACTGCAGTAAGCCTGCAGAGAACTTTGGACTAAGCTTGTGAATACTTTCATTATGATTGTTATCTATTTAGATTCAGTATGGTGACTAGAAAGGTGCATTCCACCAACTTCCAAATTTCAGAGGGTGTTTTAGAGTTTTGGGTTGGGATCTGTTGAGATCTGTCCGTAAACTGAAGAAATGTCTGAAGACAGGAAATAATTCTTCCCAGAATCACCTTTTCTCCTGATCCTCATAACACAGTTCGAAATAATACTGAAGAGTCAGAAAACGTAAGAGCAGTTTTACAGCAGCAGCATATGGGGAGGAGATGACAAGAATGTCTGTAGAACACTTGCTGATGGACATGGTAGGTGCTGAGGAGAGAAATTAAGGGCAGCTTAAAAGTCTTGAAGAAGGGAGGAAATTTGTGGGAAGCATCTGAAATAGAGAAGAATGGGAAAGTAAACATTGGAGAGCTCTCATGAAAGTAAATAAAAAGCTAAATGGGCCCTTAGAGTGCACTTATAAAAAGAGAGCGTGTTTTCACTGTGCCCCTCTAATGTAAGCAAGAAGCTTCTTTGAGTCTTTGGATGTATAATAATGAACTACTTGATTAGTTTAAAATAGATATTTGGTAAAGCAGTAGTAAGCAGGTACTTAACTGTAACTAAGTACTACTCTTTAATGAATTTTGTGTAATTTTTCATGTAAATGCCTGAGCGTTTGAGGTTTTTGAGGGAGCAACCTGCTGATACAGAGAAAGAGATTTAAGAGTACTCAAGCTACTGTTGCATAGGCACTGAAACCATGTCATCTTTTCCAGGTCTCTCCCTCTTTTTAAGTATTTTTTTTGAGGCAGAAATAAAAAAGTCAAAATGGGGCGGAGATCTACATCATCCACCAAGAGTGGGAAGTTTATGAATCCCACAGATCAGGCGCGTAAGTATCAGTAAAAGCTTATGGAAATGGGGGGTAAGAGGGTCCTCAGGAGGCAGATGGAAAGCTTTCTCTGAGGATAAGGGCCTCACTTGTGAATCAGAACTGAGCTTCCCTAACTTAAAAAATATTTTCTCAGTTTTGGTGGGCTTAAAAACTCTCTGAGAAGGCTGCTTGCTTCATTCTGCTGTGTATTTATACACTGTGGTTGTCAGTGTTCAAAGGACTTTGTACTTAGCTGCTGGCTAAACTGCAAGCTGCTGCTTGGGACACAGTTAATCTGTCTGAGGCTAGAATTTGAGGAGCATGGCAAATTTTGCATGAGAGACTTGGCTAACTCTTTTTCCCTTTTAATAACATGCCAGGTGTTACCAATGCTAAGCAGATAAAAAACATCCAGACTTCATGGTGAATATGCTTTGTTTTTAATGGATACTCAAAGCTTACATATTTTCAAAGTGCATTGTCTGTTGTTAACTTCTGTTTCTGGGAAGAAATCCTTTCATGACTGCACATAACACTGACTTTTCCTGCCTGTTATTCTTTCTTTGTGTAGAAACACCCCTGCTTCTGGAGATGTGAAGGCTCCTACATCTCCTTTATTTTCTGTATAACACACATGAAATAGAAGTCTATTTTGTGCTGTATTTCTCTCTCACTGGGAAGATGAATTAAACAGTTGCAATCTTGCAGTCTTTGCAAAATGACTGAACAGTTGAGACGCAGCACTAGTCTTGAAGGAAAGGTTCTTCATGAATTTGTCTCAAGTTTTTATTTTCTTTCTTTTCCCCTCTTCTCTAGGGAAGGAAGCTCGGAAAAGGGAACTAAAGAAGGTAAATAGAAGAGATCAGGAACATTTACTTGGCATTCTGCTTACTGTGTACCATGTTTGTGATTGTGGCTGATGGATAGACTACACATGTTTTGGTTGATATCCTAAGACTGACTTTGGAATATACTGTTCAAACAAGTAGCTTAAGAAAACAGACAGAATTCTTCTTTTTAGTAATAAATAATAATCTGCTATAATATAATCTCATAATATATAATATAATAATCTCATAATCTGCTATTT